ATGATCTATATTAGGGGTTAATAAGGGTGTTACAGTTGTGGCTAATAAAATAGTAATGCTATATTAGACAGGTACTGAATAAACATTAACTAGAATCAATATTATTAAAATTGTGACTCTAAGTCACCAAAAATAAGTTTAATTATACACAGTATATGCCAATTGTGGAAATAGAATAGAAATCCAAAATTGTATTCAGAAAAGTGACTAATTCAGAATGACTTATTACCAAAAAGTGTCAAGTTACCATGAATCCTATAGTCACATTCAATTTTTTCCCCCAGAATGAGGGAACTTTGAAAATCAAAGGGCAAATATAAGAAATATATGCTTCAGACTCCTAAAATACATTTACTGTTCCCTATGATAAAAACCAGTAAAGCCATCAGTATTTTATTCAATAATTTAAATTGAAGTTTTAATATTAGAAAAATTCTTCATATTCAAAGTGACAACCTAATCAGACATCACAGACTTCATATTTAACTCCACTATTAGTGGTATGGAATAATGTTTACTTTTGCCATAAGTAACAAAGAAAGCAAAGCTTTTTGAGTCAAGTCAGTCACTCAGCAGTGTTTAAATGTATAGTCTGCTTTAAAAACTATGGGAAATAGAATAAATATAAGATTCATATATCCATATAAATTTGATATCTAAGAAGAATGGCAAAAGCACTAAGAAAAATGGTTCACAGGAAGGAGATATCACTGTGGACTACAATGACAAAAGACCGCTTCAAAGACATAAGCAGCAGTAGGATGCAGAGCTAGAAAAGAGAAAGCATTCAAAAGTAAGGGAGATCTTTTGTCATCTGTTTTCTTTATAAAAATGTCTAACTCAAAACACCAAATACAAGACACATTCAAATAAAGCAATTTAGAGAAACACTCAATTAGAGATATATGTGTGTGTGTGTGTGTAGTCTTTTTTTTTGAGACAGTCTTAAGCTGTCTGGGTAGAATGCTATATGGCATCATAGTTCACAGCAACCTCCAACTCTTGGGCTCAAATGATCCTCTTGCCTCAGTTTTTCTATTTTTAGTAGAGATGGAGTCTCGCTTTTTGCTCAGGCTGATCTCAAACCCGTTGAGCTCAAGCTATCTACCTGCCTCAGCCTCCCAGAGTGCTAGGACTTCAGGCATGAGCCACTGCACCTGGCCCTAGAGATAGATTGTTTATTAAATCATTCATAAAGTCATAAACAAACATATATAAACAGTAGTTATCTATCTACCCTTTAAGTTCACAAAACTTCCCAATTTAGACCTGAAAGCTAAGTCTAGCAAGAGTAAGAAACCTGAGTCCAGAAACAGAAAGAAAATTAAAAAGAAGCAGCAAGACAGAAAATTCTTTGGCATTAAATCTCAGTATACTTTTCTCAATGCTAAAAATTGTCTGTTCGCTCTACCTTCTTCTAGCACAGCATTTTCCCCTGGTATATTCTACATCTGTCATTTTACTTTAAGTTGGAAAAGTGATAAAAGTTCAATTTGAAAGGAAATTCATTTTTGTAATTTCCTGTCCACAAGAGGGCTCCAATAATTCTTCCATGAATGGAAGTGATAACTAAAGTTACCATAAAAATACTAAGCACATAAAATGTACTGAAAAAATTTGAATTGTTATTACGTCGTTTAACTCAGACTAAATATTGTTAAATCTACTATAATTTCTACATTAATAGGTTTTAAAGATACGGGGCTTCTCTTTAACAGTTTTCTCAACTAAAATGTTTCAACTACCAAAATTGCTTTGCCATTATTCTCACACTATCAATTTTTCTCTGAGGTAGAATTTTCAATTTAATAGATATCATAAGGTATAATTTCAGTCCAAAGCTCTAAATAGTAGCACAAACGTTACATATAATACTTTTATATATACAAGAATGGGTAACTTTCCCAATCCAGAAAGCAAAATTACTATTACTACACAGTCTTTATTACTAAGACAGTAAATGTTTTCTTGCAGAAAACCTACAGTTGTTAATATAAGTCATGCTCTGATTATACACAATAAATATTGCCCTATCACGAACTATTATGATCTTGGCTGAAAATAAATAAAGAAAATGAAATCATTTAAACGCGAAGTCTTATAATGATATGCCATTCATTCTATTCACTATTTTTAACAAAGAAGTGATCATAATGATATGTTAGTAAATCTAATTCACTCTTGGCAAAAGAAAAATATCTCATGTAAACATATTTATATTTATAGGACATATATGTTACAAAATGTAATAAAAGGACCAACTGCAAATTCTTTTAAAGAGAACAGCAAATCCATTCACTAGGGGTGCCTCTCCCCCCTCCAAAAAATTGACTAAGTTTGGATTATAAGGAGATCCCATAAAGGTAAACACAAATATTTACTGAATATTTAAAAATAAATTTTACGTGAGTTCTATTTGCAGAACAAAAAAACCAATGGCAAAAAATTGATTTTAAAAGTGAGTCATAATCATAGCCATAAGACTTTACCAAAAACATCAATTGATTCAGCAATTACTGTAGCTGAAGAATAAATTATCTCTAATGAAAACATGACAGGGGTTATAACTTCACTGCCCCACCCCATTTCTCAAATAGGATTTTCTTATACAACTGACAAGCACCTCAAAAATGTAAGAGCGTAATATTTTTTTCTAAATAGCACATACTGTCAACACTTAGAAAGCTTAACATTTTGCTGAGCCTAGCAAAAACATATGTATTCATACTTCCGAGTTTAGAAGATTGGAACAGTAGAAATCCCTGTCAATTTAGAGTCATACTGCAAGGGAAATGTTAGTTTGTGGAAAGATGTGGGAGTGGTGAGATGGGCTTTTTAAGATTCAAAGAGTGGTAAGTTGTTCTCACTTTAAGTCATGAATGTAAACTAGTATCAATTGTCAATTATTGGCATGAACAATTTAACAAATATGAAGTATTTAATCAACAACTTCTAACCAGTATTTATCATGTTCTATTTCAAAAAGTCAAGAATTTTAGACACACATTAAATGAAGGCACTTTTTAAGCAAAAATGCAATAGTAAGTAACAGCAAACGAAGGTTTGAAAGACTTTAACAAAGAAAAATGTGTTAACCTCCAAACCAGCTGAACAGCTAAAAAATGAGACAAATAATAATAACAATACTCAGAACAATCTAACCCATGCTGTACTTGAGTACACACATTCCGAAAAAGCATCATCAGGGCATTATATGTTTATTACATAATACTGCTTTGCCCTTGCATATCACCTTTAATCAAGTGATCTCAAAGCACCACAGAATCATCAAGGCCTTTAACATAAGAGTCTAAAACAGAGATAGTTATATTGTATTATTGCAGCTATTAATATAGCCTGCCCCTACTTCCCAGTCCCTCGATCCTAACATCAGTTTCCAAACCCTGTCCCTGTCTCTCTGACTTGAAACAGTATTCTCCAAATCATCTCAGTTTGTGACTGATGCTTACACATGTAACAGCTTTTCTTCTTCACTGGACCTGAAGAAAATGTGGCTCTGTTTTAATGACACAAATCTATTTCCTTACAACTTCAGTTAACAGAAAAGGTACTTAGGATGAACATTATCTTGCACTTTGCTTGATGCTATAAAATGGAGGCTTTGGAAAGAGCAAATCTTTGCTGGAGGCAAAGAGCCCACAGATCACTCAACAAACGGGGGAAATAGCATTTCCCAGCTCAGTCTAGAAGAGACCTCTACCTGCAACTTCAAGAGCAGGGTAGGGGAAACCAGCCAGGCAGGAGACTATTCTCCCGTGTACACAGCAGGAGGGAAGGGAAAACTAAAAGGACAATGCACTGAGTTTCGAGTCTCAGGAAGGAGAGTGTAAGGTTGCAGCGGCCACTCAAGAGACAGAACACAGGGGTTCTTTGCATTTAAATAGCACATTAAATGAGAAATTAAACATGAGTAAAACATCTTTCAATCAAGGTCAAAATAAGCCTCTTAGAAGTCATTTAATTTTTCTTGTTTTATAATCTGTTAAGTGAGGTTTGCTCCTATAGAAATATCTTGACATTTTACAATTTAATCATCAGCAAAGTTCAATTATTTTTCTACTAGATGAATACAGAAACACTCAAATGTTAATGTAAGTGAGCATAACCGTATTAACTACAATTATTTCATAAACAAGATTATTCACCTTCCTGTTAGTTGCATTATGTTTGTCCCTAGGACTGAAAAATGTAATATCACATCACACAAACCCACCCCCAGCACACTAAGGGACAGTAACTGTTAGTCAACTGACTCACAAAACAAAAAGCGTCAGTAAACAAGAGTATTTTTTGTTTCAAGTTGTCAACACTCAGTGATAAAGGCTCAATAATATGTTTCATTACCTTTTAAAAGTCTAAAATGTAATCTACGAAATTCATCCAGTACAGATAGAAGGCAGTCTAGATGAGTGAAAATTCCAAAACATTTGAATGTTTTTCTGTTGCTATCCGTGTTCATGCACACATTTCAAAAAACTCACAGTAAATTCTAATATACTTTTTCTTGAAAAGATGCTTATCCCTGTTCTTGATAAATACGTATATCAAGTTTGTCGCTACTGCATTAGTGATTTCGTCTGTGTCAAAGAGCAAGACTCCCGTTTCTCTACCTATGTTATCTCCTACGGTCACCCCTCCTCAGTTCTGCCCACTGTCACTGCCGCTTTCAGAAGCATAAAAACACAAATGTTCAGAGATTTCTAGCAAAGGACATATTTTCTCTACTTTAAGCTACCTTGTTAACATTTATCCACTTCTCCACTGCCTTCAATGGTTTAGAAAACCACCAAATGAGAAAACCTGTATTAAAAGCAGTTCTACAAGGAGAAAACCAGAAGCTCCAACTTCTCCAAACCTACTAGCACAGTGACTTTTCGACAGTCTCCAACAAACCTTCGCCCCACGCCTCCGTCCTTTCTGATTAAATAAGATTGGAGACCACAATTAAATCAATGTGTCATAACTTAGCCTTCACTTACCATATCCGCCGGGACATTACTGGACATCTTGCCGTTTGATATATTCCCAAATGTTTACGAGGAAAAAATATATAACAAACAAAAAAGAGAAGTCTTCAAGCTACAGAAATAAACCTTCACAATTTTGATTGGTTCGCGGTGTGCTTTTGCGCCCCCCAAAATAAGTTATTTCGGAGCCAAAGTGCAGGCCTGGCCGAGGTTCTGATGCGAAGAGGAACAATCCCCAGAAGCTGTGCGGCCGGAGTGAAGAAACTCTCGGGACGGCAGAGGCAGCCCCCGTTGTCGTTGTCGTCGTCGTCAGCAGCAGCAATAGCAGCCCCAGGACCGGCCGCGCCAGGTGGACCGAGCCGAATGACACACGGACATGGAGCGGAGTGGGAGGGGGTTAAATCCGCCTTCCTTCTTTCCCAGCCCCGGCAGTGATTCACACTCGCTCCCGAGTCAAGTCCTCATTAAGCAGGAGAAAAATGCCCCAGCGTGCATGTACATAGATAACTATGTAGCTACACATCGACCCGTGAGCGGTGAGTGGCGGCCGAACTGCAACCGGGCGACCCCGCCGAGGAGCCGCACGCGAGAAGCCCGCGCGGACGGCCCAGGGAAACGGCTCAACTCGCGCCGCTGGGGCTGAGAGCCGAACCGCGGAACCCCGCGCTCAAGGGCATTTAACTAGTTGGGAGCCAAAGCGAAAGCCCAGGGCGGAGAGACGGGGCCGGGAGCGGCGAGCGCGGGGCGGCTCGAGGCCGGCCAGGACACTCCACGGCCGGTCGGGACTCAGGCCGCGGGCGCCTCCGGGCAGCGAAGGGGGTCGGGGCGCATAGTCTCCAGCTCCTCTGCGCTTCTCTCCTGCCTCCGCCTCCCCCGTCTCCGCCTTCCCCACCCCTCCCCGGCCTCGCGATCTCCGGGCGACGCCGACTTCGGCTGGCCCCCGGAAGAGGCCGGGTTCTCCCTCTCCTCAGTTCGGGAATGGTTTCCTCTTAGAGCTTTGTTTCTCCTCCTCCTCCACTTTTTCAGTCTCACACGCCGCGACCGCCTCCTGTCATCGCCTCAAACCAACATGGCGGCAGCAGCCAGAGTGCGAGTAGGGGACACGGGGAGAACACCCCCGCCCCCAGCAGCCGCCGCCCCCGTCCTCCCTCCGCAGACACCAAGTGCGTCACTACGGAGACCACCGTGGAGCATCACGGGAAGTGTAGTCTACGCGGGTGGGGGAGGGGGCGCCTAACGCGTCCTTTCCTGACTCTGAAGCCACGCCCACCATAGCAACAGTTACTAGGAAAGGAAAGCTCCCTTCCCTGGCGTTAGCCAGACTGCTGCCCAGGAGTTAGGTGGTGCCTACCAGGAGTAGTAGCTGTGATCATGAGAATTGTTGAGGAGAAATAATTCGACACAGAGAGATTCCCTCATGCGCAATATGCCCACAGAGCTAAAGTATGGTATCCCTCCAAGAAGAATCATTCATTTTAATAACAGGACACTCTCCACATCCTGCAATCTCAAAGCATTTTGTAGAATGATTTCATGTAGGTCTCCTTAACATTACGTTTTGAAGATCGGAAGCAATTATTGATTTCCAATAAGGTCACAGGAGTTCAACAGGAACAAAGATCTCATTAAGCAGTGAAAACATTTGAACATGTTTTTCTTGAAGCCCCAGGACCATAAAGCTACAGTGTACTTAATTGAAATTACCAAACACTGTATTAGATACAATTGTGTTATCATATCAAATCTATGTCAGGAAATAGCTACTACAGACTAGGTGGAGATTCACCAGTTTACCCTTCTAGCACCTAAATTCTATTTAACTCAAATAATGTAATTGAAAACCTATTTACCTGCAGTAATTAGCAAATAGCAGAAAATAATGCCATACAATAATGTATCTGGGATAGACATCTGAATCCCTATTCACATTTCTCTTAGTCGATTGACAGAATACTTTAGGAAGGACATTCTCAATACGACACCTGTATATAAATGCCCCTGAATTTAGAGTCTGAAAGCCACCTCTCCAACTTACAGCTATGTGACCTCATCTGTAAAACAGTCTTGCCTACTTTCCAGGGTTAAAGTAGGAGCACTTGTGAGGATGAGTTCATGCAAGGGAAATAAATCACTTTGTAAGCAATAATGCATGATTTGACTATTCATTCTCTCCTACAGCAAACAAATGTGCCCGGCACTCTGCTAGGCACTAGAACTTTAAAAATGAATAAGCTAGTCACTATCCTCAGGGAGCTCATTGTCTGGGAGCCCCTGTCATTCTCCACAGCAATCTTTCCAGGCCAGATTGTCTCATCAAATGGAAACTCATAAGGCATTTAGAGTACCTGTGTCCTGAGTAGCCTGCCTAGAGAAATTCCAAACACTCCTAGGAGGCTACATCACCCTAAGAAGGATAGATCAAATTCCTAAAGAAACCAAGGGACAGAGGAGAAAAGGGCTCAAAATCTCCTCATGATTAGGCCTCAGGACTTTGTCTAGGTCTTTCTGTGTCTGTAGTTACGTGATTTTTATGTTCTCTGTTATCTGGTTGCCCACTCCTCAGTGTTTAGCAGCCACAGAGCCCCTCCCCCTCCACCAGCCCTCCAGGAAATAAGAACACCCATGAGTTCAGGGGGAACATCGAACATATTTTAAAGATTCTCACTCACAAATATAGTCCCCCACATTACCCCGACCCCAACTTTTATCTAATGACTAACCTGCCTATGACTTACCAGGCCTAAGTGCTATGTAAGTAGAAAGGCAAGAAGCATACCATGGCAGAACGAATCAAATCACCAATTCACACTTCCTCTGCGGCTTTCCAACAGCCCCATGCCCAGGATATAATGACTCCCTCCCCCCACCAGCCTAAAAACCTGGCACATCTGCCACATGAGGTTGCTGTTTGCTACCAGTTACCACTGCCACTTCTACAAAAGGCCACAGCTTTCAACATTAGCTGTGTTTCCAATTACTCTTCTAAGAGAGGCTGAGACATTATTCTCAATAAACTCATTATAACTCTTCTCTAACACAGGACATGAGGGAGCATTACTGAACGAGTCCCAGATTTTTCCACTCTCTTTACACTCTGCTTCCCAGCTCAGGAGGGGGAGATGGGAGGCTGCAGAGAGCAGCTCAGCTGTCCCCAGCAGGGGAGGGTAACATCTTCTTGATACTATGAATCTATTGTTGGCATCAATTGGAAGGAAGTGAATGACACAGCATTTTTTTAATGGGAAAAATAACTTCACAGGAACTCAAAAAATCTGGCTCTACCACAAATTAGTTATGTGACCTTTTGCCAAGATACTTTGCCTCTCTGAAGCTCAATTTCTTCATCTGAGGAGCTTGAACTAAATCTCTAAGGTCCCTTCTAAGAGTCTTTGAGTGTCAAGTCCTGGAAAAATAGGACATGACACCCATGGCCTATTAAAAATGTCTGTGCTAAGACACTGCTCATGGGCATGAAAGATTTGGAAATGAAGGGAAGGCAGAATGATGAAAAATGTTCCAAAATTAGATTGTGGCAATGGTTGCATAAACCTGTAAATATACTAGAAATCACTGAATCGCACATTTTAAAATGAGAGATATTTTCTATGTTTTAAATTGTTGTAAAATACACATAACATAAAATTTCCTTACCCTTTTTCAGATGTACTATTGAGACACATTAAGTACATTTGCATTGCTGTGCTATCATCAATACTATCCATTCACAGAACTCTTTTCATCTAGCAAAACTAAAACTCTGTACCCATTAAACACTAATTCCTCTTTTCCCCTCCCCCAGCCCCTGACACTCAACATTCTACTTTCTGTTTCTATGATTTTAGTCTACTTTTGAGTACCTCATATGAGTGGAATTATGCAGTGTTTGTCTTTTTATGACTGGCTTGCTTCACTTAGCATGTCTTCAAGTTCCATCCATATTGTAGAATGTCAGAATTTCCTTACTTTCTAAGGCTGAATAATATTTCACTGTATGTATATTCCACATTCATCAGTGGATAGGCATTTGTGTTACTCTAGATATTGAGAAATGAGTGGATTTTATGATATGTAAATTATATCTCCATAAAGCTGTTTAAAAATGTCTTCCCATCTGCCATGTAAGGAGTCTGAAATGATTCCCATCTTATGATCATTCCTTAAGGGTCTTCTCCAGGAAACTCATGAATTTATCTAGATAAAAGTATTTCCTTCTTCTATCAGATAAAGGCAAGAGTTATAAACATCTGACTTACATACAACTCTCACTTATGAATGGAGGCAATTATAGTAAGTCCCCAATTTACAAACATCCGATTGACATACAACTCACATTTATGAATGGAGGTTATTACAGGTAGTAGTTACATATACATGTTGCAACTTACATACAAACTCAATTTAAGAACAAACCTACAGAGTATCTCATTCATAACCTGGGGACTGCCTGCATTTTAGTTGCTTGCTTCATTATTTCATCCATTGACATTTACAAAAGTTCACGGGGTAGGAAAATATCACAAGAGGCAGAGATGGCCCCATTCGGCTTTGCCCAAGGCTGGCCTGGTCTGCAGGGACCAATAATCCCAGGCACAATCTGGACTTTCCCATCAAAGAGCAGCTGAGACCCTACAAGTCCAGTCAGGGCCCCATTCCAAAGATTATCACAACTCTAGCCACATCTAACATAACGTTCTTTTTTTTTCAGAGACAGGAGCCTCAAGCTGTCCCCCTGGGTAGAGTGCCATGACATCACGGCTCACAGCAACCTCCAACTCCTGGGCTCAAGCAAGTCTCCTGCCTCAGCCTCCCGAGTAGCTGGGACCACAGACAACGCCCGGCTATTTTTTGGTTGCAGCCATCATTGTTGTTTGGTGGGCCCCAGGCTGGATTCGAACCTGCCACCTTGAGTGTACATGGCTGGCGCATTAGCCACTTGAGCCACAGGTGCCAAGCCCACATCTAACATTCTTAAACTAAATCTTCTTTTTGGTTCCAGTCAGGATAAGAGTCACGTCAGAGACGTACTTTGTAAACTTATGCTGTAGTTCTCGTGAGAAAACCTATGTGAAGCCCCCAAATACAGAAGGGGGTCTTAAGAAATGTCAATTCCTTACCACAATTGGCCAAAACATTTTCTCTGCAACTAGGTACAGTTTGCTTACAGGTTTGTAATGGCCTTTCCTTCCTTAGTCATTACCCTTGCCAAGGCAGAGGTAATGAATGTGTGTGTTTGTCAATTTGGGAATTGTGCTCTGAGGGAGTCTGGGATACGAAGAATAGAATTAAATTGTGTAAGGCAAAGGAATGGATAGGACACACGGAGGAGCCCACCCTGTGCACACACTGCAGATACATTCAGCTCTTTAAGCCTACACTTCTAAGTAGAGATTCTTAACCTGCTTCCCATAGGAATCACTGGGATTCCACTTGTGTTGAGAGCACATGCAAGCCAAATTCCTTCAGCCCAACTCCCTTCCTCCAAAGCTCACCCGAAGGTGCTGTGACTCAGTTGATTTAAGGAACAATCATATCACAAGGCTCTCTTCTCCCACACGACTGTATTCAGTCACCAAGAAATTGACCTCTTCTGACGCAGCCCAAGTCTCTTTGTCTCAAGATGTTTCCCCCTCTGCTCAGAGTCTAGCATAGCAGGAGATACAGACAGGAAAGGGGAAATTGAAATACCCGTGTGTTGAGTTGATAAATGCCACTATAGGGATAAGCACCAGGCACCTTGAAAACCCACAGGAAACAGCAAATGCCTTGAGGAGATATGTGGAGTCTAAGGGGAGAAGGCTGGTGAGCAGGTGGGGTGGTCAGAAAGAGAATGGCGGCGGGCAGGGAAAGGAAGTGGCTGACTTCAGAAGGTTGCTGGGAGGTGAGGTAGAACTG